AACCCCTACTGCTAACCACAATCCTCTCTATAGATCACGGAGGTAGGATTGAGGAATTTTCCCTAGAAGGCACTGTTCTTGCTTAATCACAATTAGACCCCCCACCTAAGTCATGTACCCCTCGCTTACCTCATCAATCATGACCCTCTCACATGTTTCCTCGATTGTGAGCCTTTCAGAGGACAGAATTTTCTAGTCAGGGAGCTTGGTTGTTGAGGCATCTATGCCTGCCACAGTTCTCAGCTGAATAAAATTACCACTTCCTTCTCTCTTCAGTGTTCAGAGAGGTTTGTTTCTGACCCCTTCTGCATAAAGAGTTAACAGGCAACCTACAGAATTGGAGAAAAATTTTGCAATCTACCCATCTGACAAAGGTCTAATATCCAGAATCTACAAGGAACTTAAACAAATTTACAAGACTAAAACAACCCTATCAAAAAGAAGGCAAAGAATATGAACAGATGCTTCTCAAAAGAAGACATTTATGTGGCCAACAAACATGAAAAAACCTCATTGTCACTGGTGATTAGAGAAATGCAAATCAAAGCCAAAATGAAATATCATCTCATGCCAGTTAGAATTGCAATCATTAAAAAGTAAGGAAGTAGCAGATGCTAGATAGAATGTGGAGAAGTAGGAATGCTTTTACACTGTTGGTGAGAGTGTATATCAGTTCAATCATTGTGGAAGACAGTGTGGTGATTCCTCAAGGATCTAGAGCCAGAAATACAATTTGACCTAGCAATCCCATTACTGAGTATTTACCCAAAATATTATAAATCATTCTACTATAAAGACACATTCACACTATGTTTATTGCAGCAGTATTTATTATAGCAAAGATTTGGAACCAACCAAAATGCCCATCAATGATAGACTGGATTAAAAACATGTGGCATATATGCACCATGGAATACTATGCAGCCACAAAAAAGAATGAGTTCATGTCCTTTGCAGGGACATGGATGAAGCTGGAAACCATCATTCTCAGCAAACTAACACAGCAACAGAAAACCAAACACCACATGTTCTCACTCATAAGTGGGAATTGAACAATGAGAACACATGGACACAGGGAGAAGAACATCACACACAGGGGCCTGTCCAGAGATGGGGAGGGAGGGATAGCATTAGGAGAAATACCTAATGCATACAGGGCTTAAAACCTAGATGATGGGTTGATGGGTGCAGCACTCTACCATGGTACATATATACCTGTGTAACAAATCCCCACGTTCTACACATGTACCCTAGGACTTAAAGTATAATTCTAAAAAGTAATTTTATTTGTAATAGTTACAAATAAGACCTGGTATGGTGGCTTACGCCTGTAATCCTAGCACAGTGGTAGGCTGAATTGGGCAGATCACCTGAGGTCAGGAGTTTGAGACCAGACTGGCCAACATGGGAAACCCCCCCATCTCTACTATTTAAAAAATTTTAAAAAATTTTAAATTTTTCAAATTTAAAAATTAGCTGGATGTGGTGGCACATGCCTGTAATCCCAGCTACTCCGGAGGCTGAGGCAGGAGAATTACTTGAACTCAAGAGGTGGAGGCTACAGCGAGCTGAGATTGGGCAACTGCACTTCAGCCTGAGCAACAGAATGAGAAAAAAAATGCAAATAAAATAAAATACCTAGAAATAAACTTAAAGAAGTGAAAGATTCCTACAATGAAAACTATAAAACATTAATGAAAAAATGGAAGAGGACACAAATGGAAACATGTTTCACGTTTATGGATTGGAAGAAGAAATTTTGTTAAAATGTCCATATCACCCAAAGCAATCTACAGATTCATTGTAATCTCTCTCAAAATACCAATGACATTCTTCACAGAAATAGAAAAAATCCTAAAATTTATATGGAACCACACAAGACCCAGAATAGCCAAATTTATCCTGAACAGAAAGGACAAAACTTGAAGAGTCATATTACATGACTTAAAATTATACTATAGAGCTATTGTAACAAAAAGAGCATGGTACTGGCATAAAAACGGCAACATATATCAATAGAATGGAAGAGAGAACTTGGAAATAAAAGTATATATCCACATTGAACTCACTTTTAACAAAGGTGCCAAGGACATACACTGGGGAAAGGAGAGTCTCTTCAATAAATCATGCTGGGAAAATTGGATATCCGTATACAGAAAAATACAATTAGACTCTCATCTCTTACTACATACAAAAATAAAAAATGAACTAAACACTTTAAGACCTACAATTATGAAACTACTAAAAGAATACATTGGGGAAACTGTCTAGGACATTTTGAAAGATTTCTGGGCGAAGATTTCTCAAGTAATACCATAAGCACAAGCAACCAAAGCAAAAGTGGACACATGGGATCAAGTTAAAAACCTTCTGCACCACAGAGGAAACAATCAACAAAGTGAAGAGACAACCCACAGAATGGGACAAAATATTTGCAAACTCCCCATCTGATAAAGGATTAATAACTAGAATATGTAAGCAGCTCAACAACTCAATAGGAAAAAAACCCTAATAATTAAAATATGAGCAAAAGATCTGAACAGGCATTTCTCAAAAGAAGACATACAAATGACAAACAGGTATGTGAAAAAGTGCTTACCATCATTGATCATCAGATGCAAATCAAATGCAAACCAAAAATACAACAAGATGTTATCTTACTGAATTAAAATAGCTTTTATCCAAAGCTGGAAATAAGAAACAAAGACAAGGATATAGAGAAAAGGGAACAGTAGTACATTGTTGGTTGGAATGTAGATTATAGCTACTGTGGTTGAAGTTTCCTCATGAAACTAAAAATAGAGCTACTATATGATCCAGCAATCCCACTGCTAGGTATATACCCAAAATAAAGGAAGTCAGTATATTGAAGAGATATCTGCCTTCCAATGTTTATTGCAGCAGTATTCACAATAGCCAAATTTGGAAGCAACCTAAGCGTTCATTAGCAGACGTATGGATAAAGAATATGTACTTACATGCAATTGAGTGATAGAAAATAATCCTGTCATTTGCAGTTATATGGATGGCATTGGAGGACATCATAAATAAAATAAGTCAGGCAGAAAAAGACAATTTTCACATGTTCTTATTCATTTGTGAGATCTAAAAATTAAAACAATTGAACTCATGGAGATAGAAAGTAAAATGATGGTTACCAGAGGCTGGGAAGCACGTAACACAAATAAATGATATATGCTTGAGGTGATGGATATCTCATTTATTTTGATGTGATTATTGTACATTTTATGCCTGTATCAAAATATCTCATGTATTCCAAAAATATATGTATACCTACTATGTACCCACAAAAATTTTAAAAAAGATTATCCCAAGGAAAAACTTAGAATCATGTAGTTGTTTTGCAGAAAAATTGTTGATTTATATATGAGAGAATTGGCTGACCGAGTTAAGGAAAAAGGTAAAAAAACAAATTTTATAAAGGAAGGAGGGAGGACAGAGAAAAATTGATGTTTCAAGTAAATATTGTTGGCATCTTTTTAGGTAAACTGATTTTCTTTCAAGAACAAAAAGGAGTGTCTGGTAATTTTATCCTTGAGTGGGCAGGGATATGAAAGAAAACAGTTTCAGTTGTTTATGAGTTCTTCAGAAAACTTGAGAATTCAGCTGTCGTAGTCCACACATCTCACTAAAACTATTTTAACATCTGTGTGTCCTTCATCAGCACCCCTACAATAGTTAGACTAGTCATTATAATTTTTTTTCCTTAGCCTGTTTGTTCTGCCTTACTCCTTTACACGGGAGCTACAGGAGGGAGCTGCATAAGCTGGTGGTGAGACTGGGGACAAGGTGGCAAAGTGTATCAGAGAAATGGACAAAGGCATCCTCCCTATTTGTGTCTGTGGCAGTGCAATGAGTCCTGAAGATATAATTCCTTATGGAGTTTGCAGCTTTGTTGGGGCATTTGGGGCAACATTTCAAGCAGGGAAGCATGACACTGGTGGGAGGAAAATGCCATCTTCAAGTGGCACGTAGAGAACAATTATAGGCATATTGTTTAAGGCTAATTAGAAAAATGAGCTTTTTTTTTTTTTTTCCTTATTCAGTCCCTGCATCTATTAGGAATTACTGAAACTTTGACAATCAATTTCACTTTATCTAAGTTTATTGAAGTGGAAGTTCAATAAAGGCAGCTTTTTGGAAGTGCTTTAATAAAATTACTAAACACAGATTTGTCAAATTTATATCTAAGTGTACTTTGGTGTGGATTACTTGCATAATAGACTCATCTGCAAAATGTGCACACTGGCCTACATATCACTTCTAGTCTGATATTATGGGAATGAAAATTTGGGTATGATTCTTACAGAAACATATTCCAGCTAATGGTCGAACTTCATTCATATTTTTACTATTCCTTTTTCCGCCTCTTCATCTACTTACTTAAAGCATAAAGATACATGTATTTTCCTTCTAGGCCAGGAGGACACTTCTTTTTAATTCCTTTTGCTTTGCCAGGATATTTCAGCACAAATTCTCTGCCCCAACTAGTCTCCATTGCAAAGCATCTCCTAGTGTCTTTGGCAGAAGGAACAATGTTCAGTAATTCTTGTTACCTGATCTTTATTTGATATGGCTTAATAGCCACCTAAGTTGATGATTTCATATTAATAATAGTGATAATCATGATTAAGCAAAGCATGTTTTTTTTCCTGCCTGTGATTGGTGGACAATGATTATGTTGAAGAAAAATATAGTCTTTGACTAAAGTTAATATTTTAATTTATTACTCACTATTTTGAATGTACTGTATCTGCTGTATGGTCATATAGCTTTACAGTGGTATAGAAGACAACATCTAATTCTGGTTATGGGGAAGTATGTCACTTAGGTTTATGAGAAGTAAGCATACAAGAGACAAACAGTATTATATGATTAATAGTTTATTTCTAATTTTAATGCAGTTTAATAAAATACCAATTATGTCCAAGATTATTTTTTTGAATACAGAATAATAGAATTCCAATAGAAAAAGAATAGAGAAAGATGTCCTAAGCACTAATGTTGATATAAACATTGGTATGCAAAAGAATAGTTTTATATTTCTAGTGTCTTCAATATTTCTGGAAAACATTAATTTAGAAATTTGGATAATATCCAAAACTTAAACTCTCAAAAACATGAAACATTACTTGACCCTCAATCTCCTAAAATACTCCTACTTTTCTAAAGTTAGCTCTCCATAATATTGATCTCTTAAATTTAAAATTTCCAAACTATAAAGCTTAAAGCATACATACTAAGAATAAACTAACACCAAACCAGTGAAACACTGTAACATATTTTAAACAGATTGACAGGAAAAAAATAACCTCCCTGAAAGTATTATGAAGTTTCTAGATTGAAACGGTTTTTGCCTGGTTCTTCTATTCTTGGACAAATTCCTTTGATATTTGTTTCTTACTCGTAGAAATAGTATCTCTGTGACTGACTAAATCCCAGCTTCTTTGACAAATCACTTGAACGCCCATATAAACCTGGGTACCTATTAATATACGTTCCATAAAACCTTGGATGATCTTCAACAAATGACCTTGCTTTTTTGATATTATATCTTTCCTTAAAAACCTCCGGGTTGGAATTGTAACTAACACTTCCACCCTGAGAGTGACTAAACCCAGCTTCACCATAATCATAATCTGCACTGCCATAGCTGCCATGTCTCCAAACTAAATCTGATTGATCTCCATGCCTTTCAGTACTATCAGAGTGAAACTCATGAGAACAAGAAGTGTCATCATTGCCGCTTGACTGTATTCCTGAACAATATTCAGAATCTTGTGAAAGAATACTAGAGTGAGCATGTTCCTTGCTGGTACTAGAGTCTGACAATACAGAGGAGGGGTGCCCATAACAAGCTCTATCGTCCTGTTGGAACTCTGGGTGCCTGGAGCCATCTCTCGACTGCTCCCGAGCGGACCCATGATGGTCTCTGGAACCAGACCCAGACCGCCTCTTGGAGTCAGATTCCGAGTGTCCCTCGCTGTGGCTCTCCTGGCTAACGCTGGATCCCCGGCGCCTGCTGGCCCTGGAGCCCGCTGATGGTCCCTGGCCCGACTGTGAGTGTCTAGAGCTGTCTGCCCGAGTGGAAGCCTCGTGGTGATGCGACCCTGAGTACCTGGGGCCGTCTCCTGACTGTTCCTGGCTACGTGTTTGTCGGCTTGCACTTGTGGATCCAGAGTGCCCACGGGAGGCATCAGACCTGCCCTGGGAAGCCGTGTGGCGGTGATGGGACCCTGAGTGTCCGGAGCTGTCTCCCGACTGCTCGTGGTGGGATCCCTGCCTTCCTCCTCTGCTTGACCCCGGCTGTCCACCAGTGGCGTCCTGACCCTCATGGGACGCTGAGTGCCTGGAGCCGTCTCGTGCATGCTCGTGGCGGGACCCTTGTCTTCCTCCAGTGCCGGGCCCGGAGTGTCCGTGGGCGGACTCAGACTGTTCGTGAGTGGTCACCTGGTACAGGAAAGGGCCTGAACGTCCAGACCTTTCCCCTGACCGGCCGCGTGCGGACTCATGGTGGCTCCGCTGACTGTGCCCAGCCTGTGTGTGGCCTGACACTGACTGTGAGTCTGMGTCTTCTGAATGCGCCTGGCTGTCACTGGCCTGACTACCACTGGACTCCGAGTGTCCATGGYGGCCGACTGCAGATGAGGATTGTCCACGGCCGGTGCCTGAGTGTCCAGAGCTGTCTGCTGAGTGCTCGTGGCGGGATCCGTGTCTTCCTCCTGGGCTTGATGCTGCCTGCTCCTGGGAAGACGCAGCCCGCCCACGAGAGGAAGTGTCTGCGTGACGAGCGCCTGACTGTCTGGAGCTGTCTGCCGAGTGCCCGTGACCGGCTCTGTCTCCGTRATGGGACCCGCGGTGCCTGGAGCCATCTCTCGACTGCTCCCGAGCGGACCCATGATGGTCTCTGGAACCAGACCCAGACCGCCTCTCGGAGTCAGATTCCGAGTGTCCCTCGCTGTGGCTCTCCTGGCTAACACTGGATCCCCGGCGCCTGCTGGCCCTGGAGCCCGCTGATGGTCCCTGGCCCGACTGTGAGTGTCTAGAGCTGTCTGCCCGAGTGGAAGCCTCGTGGTGATGCGACCCTGAGTACCTGGGGCCGTCTCCTGACTGTTCCTGGCTACGTGTTTGTCGGCTTGCACTTGTGGATCCAGAGTGCCCACGGGAGGCATCAGACCTGCCCTGGGAAGCCGTGTGGCGGTGATGGGACCCTGAGTGTCCGGAGCTGTCTCCCGACTGCTCGTGGTGGGATCCCTGCCTTCCTCCTCTGCTTGACCCCGGCTGTCCACCAGTGGCGTCCTGACCCTCATGGGACGCTGAGTGCCTGGAGCCGTCTCGTGCATGCTCGTGGCGGGACCCTTGTCTTCCTCCAGTGCCGGGCCCGGAGTGTCCGTGGGCGGACTCAGACTGTTCGTGAGTGGTCACCTGGTACAGGAAAGGGCCTGAACGTCCAGACCTTTCCCCTGACCGGCCGCGTGCGGACTCATGGTGGCTCCGCTGACTGTGCCCAGCCTGTGTGTGGCCTGACACTGACTGTGAGTCTGAGTCTTCTGAATGCGCCTGGCTGTCACTGGCCTGACTACCACTGGACTCCGAGTGTCCATGGCGGCCGACTGCAGATGAGGATTGTCCACGGCCGGTGCCTGAGTGTCCAGAGCTGTCTGCTGAGTGCTCGTGGCGGGATCCGTGTCTTCCTCCTGGGCTTGATGCTGCCTGCTCCTGGGAAGACGCAGCCCGCCCACGAGAGGAAGTGTCTGCGTGACGAGCGCCTGACTGTCTGGAGCTGTCTGCCAAGTGCCCGTGACCGGCTCTGTCTCCGTGATGGGACCCGCGGTGCCTGGAGCCATCTCTCGACTGCTCCCTAGCGGACCAATGATGGTCTCTGGAACCAGACCCAGACCGCCTCTCAGAGTCAGATTCCGAGTGTCCCTCGCTGTAACTCTCCCGGCTAATGCTGGATCCCCGGCGCCTAGTGGTTCTGGCCACTGAAGATTGTTTTTGATTCGAATCTGCATATCTAGACCTTTCTTCTTGAGATGATGATTGATTATAAGATGCACTTGCAGGCTTTAGTTTATTGTGTTTTTCTATTTGGTTATCATTTGCACCATACACTTTATTCTGAATTGTGTAATATGTGGCAGTATCTCCTGTTTCTCTCCATTTTTCAATCATTCTTCCTGTATTTTCATAATCAAATTCTTCTTCCTCTTCCTCTTTTCTTCTATAGGGACTTACGCTTCGTTCCTCTTCTTTGTCTTCTAATCTGCTATTGTCAGTCTTGTTTCTCTTCTTATTCCTTAACTCATGGCGTGTTTTTCCATGTTTTTCCTCTCCTCTCTGAGTAGGTGAATATTCTTTTCTTCCTTTTTTCTCAGGCAGTGATTCATGTATTTTTCTCCCTTTTTCTCTTGGGCTCTTGGATCTTTCCTTATTTTCTTTTCTTTTGTTTCTTTCCAGACTTGAGGGTCTGATTTTCTTTTGTTTTTCTTCTTCCTCTTTGTCATCTTCGTGTTTCTCATGATGACTGTGCCTTTTGTGCCTGTGTCCTGATGTAGATAAATTCTGTTTTCTGTTCAACTCATAATATGCCTTAGCCAACTTGAATATCATCAGGAGAAACTCAGTGAAGTCAATTTTTTTGTTGTTATCTATATCCAGGTTGTCCATGAAGACCTCAACTGTATCTGGGTCATCTGGATTCTGTACAGAGGGATTTCACAGAGGGAGATTGCATCAGACAGTTACAGTATCAGCCAATTAATTCCAAGTTAATTTAGGAAATTTGATCTCTAAATATCAAAAAGTGGGATGAAGTCTTTCTGTTTTTCTTTTAAAGCTTTTTCATCTCATTCTCACTCAGATGTTAGATATGAACAAAAATGTTTTAAAAACTAGTAAGGTATCAAGATGTTATGGGGTAAGTGCCTTGTTTACTTATTTTAAAAGTCAGAGTCATATATAATTCGTTATTTAGTTTTCTTTAATATATACTCTCTTAATAATGTTGATGTTTGGGAGAACATTATAAATACCAAATACTAAGATCTACTTTACATTAATTTTTAAATTAAATATTCATGGTTTTTTTTTCATTTAACATGTCTGTATGTTTATAATATATATTTAGGTATAGGAGAGAAAAACAAATTTCGTATTTTTTGAGACAAGACAAACTCTTTTCCTATTTTAAGAGAAGTAGTTTATACAGAGCTCAAAATAACCTTTGCTTAGATTATTGAAGAGAAGCAGAAATGCTCTATCCTTTGGTCTTGTCAGAAACTCTTACCTTCAGGATTGGCCAAAACTCATTATCCAGAAGTTCCTTCAGCTCGTTTTTGCTCAGTGATTCAGTGTTTTTATCTTTTTTTGAATATTTCATGAAAAGATCAATGATGCCAAAGATGTTTTCCAGGAGAGTGGACATATTTTGGCAATATATGTGAACCTAGAAAGAGGAAATGAAAATGTGCTTTTATTTTTGTATATTTTTTTCTTAGTCATATTATTATAATCATTCCCCACACTTTAAACCTACATTTTCCCCTAAGTAATCCATCTTTAAGAACATAAGATGGTCATGAGAAATTTCTCTTTACCAACTACGTAAAGAAAATGCATAGAGTTTTACTTACTTAAATAAAATTGCCCATTTTTTTTTTTTTTTTGGCCTGGACCTCAGTGTGCTCTAGATAAGATCATTTCTCTTGCTAATTTTGCCACTTGCTAATTTTGCCACT